ATATTAATTACCTAATTTGCATAATTAATTTTCAGCATTTGATATAAGTAGTGAGCATTACATTTCAATGAAACTTGGTACTTACATACTCAAGGACTATGCAGAGATTGATTGTTTCCGATAAATATTTGTGCATATTAATCACCTAATTTGCATAATGATTAGTCAATTTTCGGTTTTTCCACTGATATCTCAAGTACTAATCATCACATTTCAATGGAACTTGGTACATAGATGTCATATGACACTGCACAGACCTGATAGTTTTATGGTAATATCAGTACATATTAATTACCTAATTTGCATAATTAATTAATTTTCAGCATTTGATATAAGTACTAATCATCACATTTCAATGAAACTTGGTACTTACATACTCGAGGACTATGCAGAGATTGATTGTTTCTGATAAATATTTGTGCATATTAATCACCTAATTTGCATAATTAGTTAATTTTCAGCTTTCCCACGGGTATCTCAAGTACTAATCATCGCATTTCAATGAAACTTGGTACATAGATCCTTTAGGACTATGCAAAGACCTGATTAGTTTTAGGGCAAATAATTGTGCATATTAATAAATAATTTGCATAATTAATTTTCAGCTTTTCTACTAATATCTAAAGTACTAATCATCACATTTCAATGAATCTAGAATTTTGCAGACCCAATGAGTTTCTGGTAAATATTTGTGCATATTAATCACCTAATTTGCATAATTAACCAACTTTCACACTGATATCTCGGGTACTGTAGGACAATAGACAGACCTGGATAATTGTGGGTTAAAACCTGTACATATTAATTACCTAATTTGCATAATTAACCAATTTTAAGCTTTCACACTGATATCTAAAGTACTAATTATTCCATTTCAATGAAACTTAGTACAAAGATGCTCTAGGACAATGTACAAACCTAATTAGTTTGGGGTAAAAATCTGTTCATATTAATTCCCTAATAAGCATAATAATTCATAATTTTTTGGTTCTAATCACATTTCAATTAAACTTGGAAACATAGATTTTCTGTTACATTGCGCAGACCTCATTAGTTTTACACTCAAATCTGTTCATATTAATTTTCTGATTTGCATAATTAGTTTTCAGCTAAGTAATTTCGAATTATATTTAATGTGTCTCCAATACTCTCAGCACATGGGAATTCTTTCTAAGCTTTCTTTGATTTTTGTGTCTATTCCCCCTCTCTAAAGGTTTTTAAAATTCTACTACAATTTGCTTTTCATATACAGTTTGCTGCAGTCATCACTTCAACACCAATTCATCCTAAGAAATGCTCATGCACTGAGGTTTGCTCTAATAATTGTTCTACTACAAGGGTTCTTATTAAAAATTCCATCTTTGTGCTTGCTTGCTTACTTGCTTATAAATAATTTATTTTATTTTTTCCTGTTAAGTAAATAAACAATTCCATTTTGGTAAATGTTTAATATTTCATTCATCTCAGATAGTTACGTCTATTCATTCTGTCAAATTTTGTTCTACTCAGACCAAACCACCAATATCTCCACCCCCGTTGATAACAACTACTGAGCCAAGTAGTGATGAAGAAAAACAACCACTAGGTAAGCAACAACAACAAACTAACCCAGGTCTGATTTGATTTGATTGCAGTTGTTACCTGCTATAAGAATAAATATTATTTATTTATTCCATAATACTGTAAAATATTCAAATTTTCACTTTAATAATATTTAGATGAGTTGGAATCAACTGTGGAACACAGCATATACTCTGCGGAATGTGAACCAGACAAAGGTACATTGAATACAGGGTTGCATGTGTCTTTCCTCATCAGTTAATTATCTCTTTTTTTTTTCTCCTAGTAGAATTTTGTTTACGCATGATGTGAGATATAAAAATGGTTAGCTTTTTAGTAATATAGTATAATTTGATTTCAGCTTAAAATTAATCTTATACCAACTCATGGTGGGTTCCACATATGCCAACACATAGAGGGGGGGGTCCACTTCTGCCAACACATAGAGGGGGGGTCCACTTCTGCCAACACATAGAGGGGGGGTCCACTTCTGCCAACACATAGAGGGGGGTCCACTTCTGCCAACACATAGAGGGGGGGTCCACTTCTGCCAACACATAGAGGGGGGGTCCACTTCTGCCAACACATAGAGGGGGGGTCCACTTCTGCCAACACATAGAGGGGGGGGTCCACTTTTGCCAACACATGGGAGGGTTCCACTTTTGCCAACACATGGGAGGGTTCCACTTTTGCCAACACATGGGAGGGTTCCACTTTTGCCAACACATGGGAGGGTTCCACTTTTGCCAACACATGGGAGGGTTCCACTTTTGCCAACACATGGGAGGGTTCCACTTCTGCCAACTCATGGCAGGGTTCCATTTTGGCCAACTCATGGGAGGGTTCCACTTCTGCCAACACATGGGAGGTTTCCACATCTGCTGTCATATGGGAAGGTTCCACTTCTTTCAACTCGTTGGAGGGTTCCACTTCTTTCAACTCGTGGGAGGGTTCCACTTCTTTCAACTCGTGGGAGGGTTCCACTTCTTCCAACTCGTGGGAGGGTTCCACTTCTTCCAACTTGTTGGAGAGTTCCATTTCTGCCATTACACATGGGAGGGTACCACTTCTGCCATTACACATGGGAGGGTACCATTTCTGTCATTACACAAAAGAGGGTTCCACTTATTCCCATTATACATGGGATGGTTCCACATCTAGTGACATCAAACAAGAGGGTTCTACTTTTCCACACATAAGATTGTTCCACATCTGCCAACACATGAGATTGTTCCACATATGCTAATACAAGATTGTTCCACATCTACCAACACACAAGATTGTTCCACATCTACCAACACACAAGATTGTTCCACACCTACAACACATGAGATTGTTCCACATCTGCCATCACATGAGATTGTTCCACATCTACCAACACACAAGATTGTTCCACACCTACAACACATGAGATTGTTCCACATCTACCAACACATGAGATTGTCTCACATCTGCCAACACATGAGATTGTCCCACATCTGCCATCACATGATTGTCCCACATCTGCCATCACATGAGATTGTATCAAATCTACCAACATTCGAAATTGTTCCACATCTACCAACACATGAGATTGTTCCACATCTACCATCTCATGAGATTATTCCACATCTACCAACACATGAGATTGTTCCACATCTACCATCCCATGAGATTGTTTCACATCTGCCATCCCATGAGATTGTTCCACATCTGCCATCACATGAGATTGTTCCACATCTACAACACATGAGATTGTTTCACATCTGCCATCCCATGAAGATTGTTCCACATCTGCCATCCCATGAGATTGTTCCACACCTACAACACATGAGATTGTTCCACATCTACCAACACATGAGATTGTCTCACATCTGCCAACACATGAGATTGTCCCACATCTGCCATCACATGATTGTCCCACATCTGCCATCACATGAGATTGTATCAAATCTACCAACATTCGAAATTGTTCCACATCTACCAACACATGAGATTGTTCCACATCTACCATCTCATGAGATTATTCCACATCTACCAACACATGAGATTGTTTCACATCTGCCATCCCATGAGATTGTTCCACATCTGCCATCCCATGAGATTGTTCCACATCTGCCATCACATGAGATTGTTCCACATCTGCCATCACATGAGATTGTTCCACATCTGCCATCTCATGAGATTGTTCCACATCTGCCATCACATGAGATTGTCCCACATCTGCCATCACATGAGATTGTTCCACATCTGCCATCTCATGAGATTGTTCCACATCTACCAACACATGAGATTGTTCCACATCTGCCATCCCATGAGATTGTTCCACATCTGCCAACACATGAGATTGTCTCACATCTGCCAACACATGAGATTGTTTC